TTGGGTCAGCTGGTCACCTCGCATGGTCATGCTGGTTGACCAGCATACCAGCATCCAAAACACAACATATGCTGGTTTTGATGGTGACCAGCTATGCTGCTCTATGCTGGTTTATCTAGCTTATACTTTCAATTAGGGAACTACATTGAAAAGACTTTGCTTATATGGCTAACAATGAGTTCAAGCTAATAATAATGCTAGTTAGAATGGTAACTACGTCACGCTAACTAGTTTCCATGCACTGTTAGCATTAACACATTAGCAGTGTTCTAAAGGACGGGTGTAAATTCAAAACACTACACCAGAGAAAAAGAACCATGATCACATAACTTACATTGTTTACATGGCTATCAGTGAGTTAACGCTAATACTGCTATTTAGAATGGTAACTATGCAGTGTTAACTAGTTTCCAGGCACTGTTGGCCACTTTAAGACTGTTTTGATGAAGTACATCCCTTCAACTGAAGTCATTGAAGTAACTTCGCCGGTTAAATTATGCTAATGAGTAAGTTAAAGCTAATACTGCAAGTTAGACTGTTACCTATGTCATGCTAGCTTCCATTCATTGATAGCCACTAATACCATTTTAAAGACTGTCCCTTCAGCTCAGGGGTCTTTATTTACTGAGGATAAAGTCATGCCTATAAAGCTAACACCGCTAGTTAGAATGGTAACTATGTAATGCTAACTGTTTTCCATGCTATATTAGCCACTTTAACACAGTTTTCCCTTCAGCCGAGGGGTCTTTACTGTAGTGACTTTGACATACCAAATCATGCTAACTAGCTTCCATGCACTGTTAACCACACTGTTTTAATGAGTCTCTGGACGGGGAAGTCTTCAGAATTCTCTGTGGCAGCAGTTACTTTTGGCCACAATCACCAAAGATAGGTTTGAAGAAAAAGGAGCAGCATTTGATGAAAGGAACACCTTGCCAAGTGTAAAGTATAATGTGGATCTACTATTCTTCGGGGTTGTGTGGCAACCAAGGGCACAGGAAATGTTGCACATGTAGATGGAAAAATGAATTCCAGTACCTATCAGCCAATTATGGTATGTCATGCTAACTAGTACCAGTTAGCCACTTTAACCCTGTTTTGATGAGTTAGCCCTTCAGTTTAGATGTCTTTATTCACTGAAATGGCTTCACCAGATAAAATCATGGCTGAATTAGCCCAGCTGTCACTCGTCCAACCTGAAATACAGCTCAAAGAGAAAAGGAACCGTTTCTGTCAGGATTGATTACTGCAGTCTACTCCAGAACTGGCCACTTGGCAGGAAGAACATTTGCTTAGAATAAGATCAACTGAACCAAAAGCCACAAAAATGTTAGCAAAGCTTACCTTGTAATCATATTCGCTACTGTTTTTCAGGATTGAAAACATCTAGATAAGCCAGAAGCATTTTGGAAACAGGAGCTGTGGACCAAGGAAGGAAAAATCTTTGGCCACAAAGACATGTTTGGGGGGAAAAAGGAACAGCATTTGATGAAAGGAACACCTTGCCAAGTGTAAAGCATTGGGTGGATCTACTATTTTTTGGGCTTGTGTGAAAACCAAGAGCAGTGGAAACGTTGCACGCGTAGATGGAAGAATGAGCACCGTCTTGATGAGCTAGCCCTTCAGTTTAGATGTCTTTATTCACTGAAGTAGCTTTGCCAGATAAAATCATGGCTGAATTAGCCCAGCTGTCACTCGTCCAACCTGAAATGGAGCTCAAATGAAAAAGGAACCAAACATTTGCTCAGAAAAAGAACAACAGGGCAAAAAAAAACAAAACCAAAAGCTGTTAGCAAAGCTCACTGTTACTGCTGTTCAGGTGTAAAACCCTTCCATGACAGTTTGGTGTCACGTTTTTGCCCTGCCAGCATTTGAATGCATAAACACAGTGGCAGTAAATCAGTGAGCACTCTTTCATCCTCAAACAAGTTTTATTATTTATACTCCAATTTGCATATGGATTCACCGGTAGATCCATGCATACAAAAGGCGGAGAGAAAGAGAGGAACAGGGAGAAAAGGACGGCTTTAAAAAGTGAGAAGGGAACCAGAGGAAAGCTCGAGTGGACAAAGGAAGGGTGAAAACACGAGAGAGGAAAAGGAAAGAGAGAGAGAGAAAGACAGACAGTCAGACAGACAGAAAAAGACAGATACTCGCAAAAATTTCATCCAGATATTGTGCTGAGAAGACCTTCACAGGGGGGGATTGTGGGTCAGCAGCGCTCCAAACGTATTGCTTGCTTGACGAGGCGAGAGTTAACAGGCCCATCAGACTGAGGTCGATTTGAAAACAGTAAAATTCTTTTGGTTGTTCTTTATGGTCAACGATTTGGTAAACGTCTGTGACCAGGCATTGTAAAAATTTGCTGGCATTCATTCCTGGCATTGATAAAAGATAAAAGTCCTCTTTGTCCATCATAGAACCATGAAATAAAGAGAAAAGCAAGTAATATGTAAGTATATATTTATATATATGCGTGTTCATACTTTTTGATCTGTTTATATATAGACAATTCATAGAAAATAAATACGTATAGAATGTCTTACATTTTTTTTCTTCCCCACTGTAAACATTTAAAACAATAGAAAAACTTTAATCATGAAAAAAATAAAACACATGAAAGTGCGTCGTAATAAAGAAACGATACATTTTCCCCTGTGCGCTTTTGATTGTATAGAGGCAAAAAATCCACAGCTTCAGGACGGGAAGTTGCTTTGTACTCGTGTTCGTTGTATTTGGTAATATGTTCTTCAGTCAGCTTCGCTCGGCAGCGAGACAGTGTTCGGTTTTGTTCGTTAACGCAGTTTTGTTCAGTCACAGCACCTTCCGCGGAAATTCAAGTTCTCCCAAAGCAGCCGAAGGCTGACTTTATGTGGTGAAACAACTTTTACGCAACTAAAGTTGCTGGAAACTTGCATGAAACTAAATTTCATTTGTGCTGCGTATTGTAAAGCATCCTGCACTTCAGTTTGAAATTTGTCATGAAACAGCCAATCAAAATGCTGATAGTGGATCACATGATCAGGCCAAACCATATCATTTCAACTGATTTCAAACAATAGGTTGTGGAAAAGAAGATTAAGCAGATAACCTTTGGGGCTGTTCAGAAGGAGGTCCTCCATGTTGATGTTATGCAATGTTGGTGAGCAGTTTTTTATTTTGTCAACCAGCAAGACAACAAACAAATTCAAGCTTAACGAATTAAAATTGCTCATTTGCTGCTTACCAGTTCGCTTGACTACACTGTAAAAAAACGATAAGATTTAACAGTCAATACCCGATTTTTAAAAAACATTCCCAAAAACAGATTATACCTTTATTTTACAGACATTTGCACTGATTTGCCTGTAATTTTACAGATTTTTTACCGTCAGTGAGAATACCTTTAATGAACGGCATTTGTCTGGCACCTCTGCTGCAAGACTTTTTTCATTTTTTTTCCGTATCAATTTTAATGGTAAGATTGTTGTTTTTGTTCCCTGTAAACTGACTGTTTTGGAGACAAAATGTAAATAACATGTCTCAGATGATCTTATATAACCAGAATGGTACAGTATCGTCACTGTTGCACAAAACAATCTCCAATTTAGTCACTTTTTACTTTTTTCACTCTTTGAATTGTGTAAACAATTAACGACAAATGGACTAACAGAAATGATCCAAAATTACGTGGTAAAAACCTCATTAGTTAAGATGTTTTTCCTTCTCCTGTAGAGTTAGCATTTAGAAGATATGAGGTAAAAATGGCCAGCAACTTATCTAGAGAAATAATTGAATGTCTTGCAACTTTGTTTGTTTTGTATTGCTTTGTATAAATATCAAGAATGAGGTGAGCAATAAGATATTTATCAAACGTTTATTGTAACCAGTTTGCGTAACTAGCTATTTAGCCAGCTAATGTTAATTAAAAACTGTGTGATGAAAATATTCGCTGTTACTTTGTAACTTCAGTTTTAATGGTAAGATTATTGTTTTCTTTCACCTATAAAATTACTGTCTTGGAGATGCTGAGACACTTTCTTAACTGTAACAGTGAACAATAAATGTAAATAGCATGTTGAGGATGATTTGACGCCAGAATAGTAAAACCTAAAGATTACTTACTACTAATCTGGCTTAATAGAAGAATATTGGAATGTGTTGCACGCAACTCTGTTTCTGAGTCACTAAGTATGGATATTGATGTAGGTATGATAATTATTGTAACCAGTTAGTTAGCATGCTAATGTTATTTGAACAACCGCTTGTTGCAAAATGTCGCTGTTACTTCGTAACTTACCGTATTAGTAAGATCGTTGTTTTGAAGATATTATGTAAATATCATCACAGATAATTAACAAAATGTAAATAGAATGTTGCAGATGATTTTATGCAGCCAAAATGGTACAGTATAATAAAACTGCTAGCTTCTATTGCTGCTTTGTGAAAAAGTCAGTGTAGAGGTGGGCAATAAAATATGTATATTATATATATATATATATATATATATATATATGTATATATATAAACAATATTTTCACTTAACTAGCTAGCTAGACAGCTAAAGCTTGTTTCAACAGCAGTTTGATGCAAATATTCGCTGTTACTTCGTAACTTCAATCATAACAGTAAGATTGTTGTGTTCTTCTCCAATAAAGTTACTATACGAGTGACTAGTCTTACACTAGTGGATTAAAGGAACGTGTTGCATCCAACTTTCTGAGTTCCCTCATACAAATTTCAATGTAGGGGTAGGAAATTTGGTGATATTTGTTTGTTGATGATTATTGTTATCATAATAAACTTTATCACTTCATGCCCAATATTATTTTCTGAGCATATCATGGATATCAGTACTTAAAGAATACTAACTGCATGTTTTATTTAAAAAGAGGTTAGTTTAATCTCCGTCTTGTTCAATTGGTTTTAGCACAATGCAGTACATAAAACGCTGAAAAAAATACTCACAGTATTTGATTATTTTTTTGTCTGTTCCAACTTAACAAATCACAGAAATATAAAATATTGTCTTGCATGCATCGAGAAACTGTGATATGTATTTGCCATATGTCAATAAGAGCGGGTTGAGCTGCAACCGGTTGTGTAAAAGTTTCACCACGTAAAGCCAGCCTAATGCGCCTCACACAGAGTCCACTTTGACCTGGTTGTTGTTGGTCATCAGCGGGGACAGCTTGCTCTTGAGCCTTTCCTGCGCCTCGTTGGAACTCTCGGGGAAGAAGATCCGGGCGGTGCACACGGACACCACGATGCGCTTGTACTCGCGGCGGAAGTTCTGGTTAAGCACGCCATACACGATGGCGTTGAGGCAGCTGTTGAAGTACGCCATGAAGTAGCTGGCCACGAACAGCCACTCCGGAATGAGGGGCGCCAAGCGCTCGGGCGCCACGGCGACCGCTAGGCCGATAAAGTTGAGCGGCGCCCAGCACACGGCGAACAACACGAACACCACGAACATGGTGACAAAGTTGCGCACGTCATGAGGCGTCAGCTTGGGTCGGTTATCCGGCTTGACCCGCCGCCTCACTTGTATGACCAGCACCCAGATGCGTAGGTAGCAGTAGGTGACCACCATGATGGGCAGGATGAAGTGGAAGAAGACCACGGCGATGGTGTAGGCTGAGCTGGCCGACTGCTCGAACGTGCATGAGTAGACACGGGCGTCGTACTGCAGCGACCCCACAAACAGGTTGGGGATTATGGCCAGCACGGTCAGCGCCCAGATCAAGAGCACGTAGCATGCAGAGTTCTTGTCGCTGAACAGCTTGTCGTACTTGAGGCTGTGGCAGATGTAGCAGTAGCGGTTGACGGCGATGCCCGTGATGTTAAAGATGGATCCCACCACGCTGACGCCCATCAGGAAGCCACTGATCTGGCAGTGTGCCGAGCCCAGGTTCCAGCCCCGGTGGAAGATGGCTGTCAGCACCAGAGGGTACGGGTAGAGCGCCACCACCAGGTCAGCCACAGCTAAGCTCACTACGAAGATATTGCCTGTGTGGAAGGAGAAATGGAGAAGAGAAAGAGCAAAAATATATTAACCGGAATTCGGACACAAACCCACGCAAATACGCAAATGCAACTGCTTCAGCCTCCGGACAACAGAAAAATGCGTCATATTGCAATTCTTAATGCAACTCTAGCAGAGCACTGTAGTAAGTGGTGCTTTGGTGGGAAACACTTACACATACAGTACTGTGTAATAGTGAGAAACCATCCTTTCATTCGTTTATTTACCAGTCATAATGGCCATTAAGTTAAAGTTACCAATTTTTCAGGGGATATTTCTGATTAGATTTGATATAAGATAATCCACCTGAATAAGGAAGGAGAAAGTCTTGCGAGTGAAGAAACAGGAGTTTCCCAAACTGGAATTCAAAATAATATTAAAAGATTCAGAGAAAATGGGATTCCTAGCAACCAACTGGAAAACCTGGTAGACACTAAAACTGTCCCCGTCAGATAAACAGCACTAAAATCTTTCATTGTTCAGAGGTTTCAGTCCACCAAAACTGGACATCTGGGGATGTGGAGTGAGGTTTTATGGACCTCAACACCACTGAGTGTGTTTGATTACTTCAGAAAATATGGAGGTGTGTCTGCAGAGTCTTTGAGGAACTGAAAGTGAGGCTCCTGAAAAGAATGGAAGCTGGAATGAAGGGAAAGAGTGACAGTCTGATATTTAGTTGTTGAGGCTTCTGTGGAATTTTCTGTTAAATATGCTTCCATTCATAGCGGCAAAGAAAACATGTAATGCAATACACAAATAACATTACGGTTTATTAGTGATGCGCAGAGAATGCACAAAACTGGACAGCCGGACCTTCATTACAGTGTCTACACTTTGCTTTTGTGATCCACCCACACAGTTACACCGTGTATCATCGCTCCGTGTTTTCTATGTGGCACAACTATTCCAGCTATTACATTAATTCCACAGTCCCCATAGTCCATCAAGTTTCCATCAGGAATGTGTGGGAATCGTGCCAAACTGAAATGTAAGCACTGTCCAGTCGCGACCCACTGCTGGACCCGGAGATGTGGTTGTGATCAGTCTTGGAAACTTGGAAGCAAAACCCAAGTTTTCACTCATTTTTTTCACTAGTGTGATTAATGATTTCATTCCTGACACGGAATCCTCTCCAGATTCAACTCAACATCCTCATTATTGTTGTGGGATACTGGAACGGCAGCATGTTTCAGACAATGCTCAATTACCTCAATTACCTCAATTACCTCAGTTTCCTCAGTAATTGTAATTGTAATTGTTTTACTACCTCAATAACTGCTGTGTTTGTTTGTTATCTGATGTAACTTACAGATCACATCATGTTAAATATGTCTGCACCTTGTTCCACTACCTCATGTCCAGAAATCTGTCTGTGTCGGTGCTACACTGTCCGGTCTGTTTACTGTGTATAATGTCTGTTTAATTTATCGTATTTATTGTATTGTGTTCTTCCTGGAGGAACGTAATTTCGCTCCACTGTGTACTTGTAAATAGATGGAATGGCAATAAAAGCCTCTTGACTTGACTTGAATCATATATTACGACTTTATTCTCAAAATATTACAACTTTTTCTCAAAGTATTCATTTTTCTCTAAAAATATTACGGCTTTATTCTCGAACTCAACTAATTTTATTTTTAATGACTGTGGCCCTAAAACGCTGTCGTAGCAGCTAAATAATGCAGGATAAAAATAATAAAGGAATCTGAAAATGAGGGTAGACATGGCGCAAGTTTAAACATATCACCACTGCTATGCTGACCCCATTATATGACCCCATTATATGATCTTAGCCATACACTGGACGGCTTTGTTTAACCCTCCAAAGTTGGAGAGCACGCCGGCATGATCAAAACACGTGGGTGGTTCAAAACGTCACAGCATAAAAAGAAAGTCACTAAGCGCTGCCGTCAACTTTTGTTGGAAGTGATGACTGGAAGCACTATGCTAGTTTTTGTTTGATGTTGACAGACCAAATAAAAACAGATGGGATCATTTAAATTTGATATAAAACTCTATTTCTACATGCGTAAAAGTAGGCAAAATGGAATGGGGCTGGCGCCTCTGCTACAATTACTGATGCCAACGAGAAAGCCACACAAGGTCACAGAACCTGCCAATGCTGCCGCCAAGTAGACGCAAAAGGAACCTCACAGTAATATAGCCGAACTGTTTGGAAGAGTGTTTACATTTTCAACAATCTACATTTTTCAAATCTGATTGTGTTTTCAGTGTTTTTTGGGTCCATTATGTTAAGACAGTATATCAAACTGAAAAACGAATCGCCAGGTTATACGGGTGATGAAAAAAGACACCAAACACTGCCATCGTAAACAGATTTAAATGTGATCTATAAGGCAAAATCCAAAGTATTCAAAAACAGCCATAATAGCGGCACCTAGTAGCGCATCTGAAGATAGATCGGTCGGTCAGTCGGTCAGTGAGTGACTCGATAGGAGACTCTTGTAAGTAAGGGTTCAGAGTAATTCAGTAACTATGCGATTAATTGTGTAATTGTAAGCTTTTATTTAAATGGTAAAGGAAAACTACAGTAATTCTAGACTTCAAAGGATTAAACTGCTTCAAAGGCATCAGTTGTTTAGAGTCGTGCAGTGCAGTAGAAGTGTAACAGCTCCAGGCGCTATTACTGCTCCATCTGTATGCAACCCATGTGCCACACCTTACACATGTACTGACAATGAGAGATAAGATGCCTGTGTGTGTTTGTGTCTCTGCGCACACAGCGGGATGAACATACAAGCAGACACGCAGCGCAAAACATGCCTGAATACAGCATTCAGCTCACTGAGACTGCAGATGATCATGTAGACTGAGCGCAGCCCCGCCTATGAAGAACAGCAGCAGTAATGAAATATGGATTTTTTCTGCATTTAAAGAGCACATTTTTTATTTATTTGCTGAGTTTAACATATTGGATGTATATATATATATATATATATATATATACACACAACAGTGAGTTCCGGCCACGCAAGCTGATTGGTTGAGCAGCGTTCTAACTGTGCTGTTATTTCACCATAACATCACGGCTTTATCACAAACACTGTATCACTCTGCTGAGACGCTGTTGCAAAGCAACGACTCTGACAGCTGTAGGAGACGCTCGAGCCATTTGAACGTTTTTACTTCTTACTTTGCCACAAACAGAAAACGGACACTTTTAAGATCACATTTGACCGACAGCCGATTTGGTCAGACTCTGAAGATGAGACGACACTAAATTCCCAAACTGTCGTCACCACTGAGCAGCTTTTCAGTCGGCAGCTGTGACAGAAGAACAGCTAAACAACCTGGAATCAGCCAGAAATGAACCCAACACCATTCGCCAAACTAAATGGGCTGTAAGATGCTTTACAGACTGGCTGGAACAAAACAACATTAATACTGATCTGGCAAAAACTGACAAAACTGAGCTGAACTTGATATTGCGGCAGTTTTATGGCTCAGTCTGATTTGGTCAGACTCTGAAGATCAGACTGCACGTTTGGTGAATGGTGTTGGGTTCATTTCTGGCTGATTCCAGGTTGTTCAGCTGTTCTTCTGTCTCAGCTGCCGACTGAAAAGCTGCTCAGTGGTGATGACAGTTTGGGAATTTAGTGTGAGGAGCTGGAGAATGAACTGCCGGCTGTGCAGCGAGGGGGCGGAGCTCGTTACTCGAACGTAGCAACAAGCTGCTCGTTAAGGAACTATAATTTGGTGAAGGAACTGCGAACATTAAAACATATTAAACGCCGCGTTCACGGCCCAGTTTATTAATTTATTACTTTATTTATTTAACTGCTGTATTAAAGCAGTAGAACACTGGAGGAGTGTGTTATCGCCAATAACAGTCAATGGAACCAGACTAAAGTAATTAGGCCGTTTCTTTTGCTCCATTCATCATGAAATTTACACACAATATAAAGGGCGACAGGCATTTTCAAATTATGTCAAAAAATGAAAAACGACACGACTATATATATTTATATTTTCATTTCCAATCAAAACAGCCTTTAAATCCAAATTATTCATTTTTTCAACCTCAATAACTAAATATAATACATTTAATGTCCACTTTCTCCCTTTATTCCAGCTTCCATTCTGTTCAGGAGCCTCACTTTCAGCTCCTCAAAGAATCTGCAGACTCACCTCCAAAGTTCAGTCTTAGAAGCTGGTTGATCATTTTCTGAAGTAATCAAACACATTCAGTGGTGTTGAGGTCTGGACTCTGGGGTGGTCAGTCCATCGTTCAGCTTCTTTGTTTGATGTGTCCGTCTCCTTTTCTCAGTGAGGTTCTTCTTGATCAGCTACACATCCTTTCAGACCCACAGCGCTGAGTCGTCTTCTCACAGTGGAAGGATGGACAGAAACACCTGTGGATGTTTTCAGATCTGATCAGCTTGATTTTCTCCTCTCTCTCAGAGATGAAAGCTTTAAGTGCTGTTTATCTGATGGGGGCAGATTTGGGGTCGACCAGCTCTTCCAGGTGGTTGTTAGGAGTCACATTAAGTGGGAAGAATGAAGAACTTACTGGCCATGTTGACTGGAAATTAAATTAATGTTGGCCACTGAGTTTTGCGCAGTATTTATGCCCTAATGTAGGCACATGCGTGCGTATGTGTGCCAATTCAGGCGTGCTGTAGAGCTGCAGGGCGCATTAGGGAAAGAATGGAGCGCCTCTAATGAATGCACAATTGCCACGGGGGTCTAGAACGCTTACTCTTTATGTGTATGAAGACAAAATGACATGAAATCACACTTCAATCAATGGGGAAACGCTGCCATTGTGCCCTTTGCTTACCCTACTGACTCTCAGTGAACGGTACGTGCAGCTCCTCATCATTCATTCAATTAATTCACATTATCCACATGTCTGTGGCAAAACCAACTCGTGCCTCATTGTGAAGGATTATGAACGCACAGTCAGACATCAAGGCCAATCTGCGAAGAGCGTTTGAAGAGCCTTGAAACACTGTCTGCTTAAGAACCATGACGGAAAACACTCTTTGTCTGTTTAACACACTTTATAGTGAGAGACAAGTAGAGCATTTACACTTTACACCCTTATTCCAAATACAGTCAATCAGCCAAGACAGATTTGGTGTCTTAAGGTTTCTTTGTTTAGTTTTGAACTGGAGTCTAATGAAGGCTAAAGTAGCAAACAAGTAATAGAAGCATGTTAGCATTGTGTCTGAACCAGGGGTCACAACCCAAATGTTAAGGACAGCCATAGCCACTTTTCTCGCATCTCAGGCAGGAAATTTTTCTTCAAAAAGTTTCCTGTAAAATGTCTCTCAACGTTCGACTTTTTACGAGGCTGAAGTCGCTTCTTATTCGCCAGCTTCTTGTTCGAATTTTCCCGTTCCACCTTAAACGGTCCCTAAAGAACCAGAATGTAACTGCTGCACCATTTACGGTGTAGCGGGAAAATTCGAATGAGAATCTGACTTCAGCTTCGTGAATTTTTAGTGTTTCAGTTTCTCGCTGCAGATTAAACGTATCAGGAAACCAGCTGGAGTGACTATAAACACTAATAAGTCCATTCATCTCTAAATTATCAATGTTCATCTTAAATCTCTCTCTTTGCCATTTAGTTTGCAAGACTGTTGTCTGTGTTGCTATGGTGACCAGCAGTCTGCGCTGATCTTCAGGGTTAAAGGGTGAATTAGCAGTTCTACATTAACTCCAGAGTTTAAGACCATTTATTGTTAAACTGTGTTGAACGATCAGCAGAGCTTTATTTTACTGTAAAGGAGGATTATTTTATTATTACCTACAAATCTGATTCAGCTGTGGAGCCACAACACGACAGCAAAAGAGCCGCATGTTGCCGACTCCTGGGCTAAACCAACACACCTCAAATCAAGCTGTTAAATCATCCCTAATAGACTTGCTTATATGGTTTCTGACACTGTATGACTTATTGTTATGTATAGTTATGACAAATGTCATTGCTACCTTTAGCAGTGGAAGGGGGTGGCCTGGTGGGCCTAGGATCCCTCAGCTGGAAGCCAGGTCCCCCCGTAGTCACCCTGAGCCAGATGTGAGCTTGTAATGAGAAGCTCTTGGGACAACCATGAGAAATTGTGGACTAATGCTGCGCTTTCATGTTGACGGTAAAAAAAAATGGAA